GGGAACCTGCCTGCTGAATTGGCAAGCTCCGCAAATCTCTTTAGGGAATTGTCCTGGGAGCTGCACCCAGAAGCTTCCATTTGCATCTCATTGACCACTCCTGTTTGCATGGGAGCTGGGAAATCAGTATTCTCTCGTTGGGACAAAGAGAGAATGGATAATTATTGGTAACTAGCAGTCTCAAACACAAGGCTCTTGTAATCTAAGTGGGGAGGCAAGCATGTAACTAGTTAGTGACAATATAGCATGTTAACTGCCTATGTGTGTAAAGGAAGTGTGACCTCAAGGCTGCAGAGACACGAATCCAGTCTTGATACAATCAGGGAGGGCTTCATAGAAGAATAGACTTTTTGAAGAAATTACTCAGTAGAGGGAACTGCAGTGCATATACTAAGGTATAAAAGGGCCTGTCATGTGTAAGACAGAAAGTAAAGTCTAATGGTGTTGGAGCATAGGTGTTTTCAGGAGTGTTAGGAGAAGAGTCTAGAAAACTAGGCCAGGACCAGAACAGGAAGAGCCTTGAATGCTGTGCTAAGAAGTTTGGACTTGATTCTCTAAAGCAGTAGTTCTCAAACTTTTCATGCATCAGGAACATCTATGGTTCTTGTTAAAACGCACATTGTGCCCCCATCCCCGGCCAAAGTTTCTGATTGAGGATATATGGGGCCTGAGAATTTGCATGTGCATTTCTAACAAGTCTTTGCTGATCAGGGAACCCCATTTGGAGAACCATAGGTATACAGAATAGGCTATGGACAGGAGTTTTCAAGTAGGGAAATAATGTGATCTTTTTCTCTCTCTTTTTTTTTTTAGAAGGATCATCAGTGGAATCAACCTGAGGACTGAGTGATTTCCTACAGAGTGTAAATCTCTCAGAAACTGCCCTAAAAGGTGGGTTCTTCCCCCACGGGCATCACACTGCTCGGCACAGATAGTATCCGGAGCAAAGGGCTAGGTTTTGAGAGGATCTGTGTTCCAGTTTTGTCTCTGTGACCAACTGGTTGTATGAACTGGGACAAATGTGTTAATCAATCTGAATGTTGGTTAGGGTGTCAGTAACAATAATTAGTACCATTTATTGAATAATTACACAATCATCTTGTTTAATACAACTGTCCTAAAAAATGAGTATTTTTAAAAATTAAAAAAATTTTTTCAATGACAATTGACATTCAATATTATATTAGTTTCAAGTGTACAAACATAGTGGTTAGACATTTATGTAACTTATAAAGTAATCTCCCCAGTAGGTCTAGTACCCACCTGGCACCATACATAGTTATTACAATATTTATTCATTATATTCCTTATGCTGTACTTTACATCTCCATGACTATTTTGTGACTTCCAATTTATATTTAATCCTTTCACCTAGCCCTCCAACCCTACTCCCATTTGGTAACCCTCAGTTTGTTCTCTGTACCAATGAGTCTGTTTCTGTTTTGTTTGTATATTTTGCTTTTTAGATTTCACATATAAGTGAGTTCATATGGTATTTCTCTTTCTCTGTCTGACTTATTTCATTTAGCATAATACTCTCTAGATCCGTCCATATTGTCTCAAATGGTAAGATTTCATTTTTTTTTTATGGCCAAGTAATATTCCATTGTATATATGTATCACTTCTTTATCCAATTGTCTATCGATGCATACCTAGGTTGCTTCCATATCTTGGCTATTGTAAATAATGCTGCAATAAACATAAGGGTGCATATATCTTTTTGAATTAGTGTTTTGGATTTCTTCAGGTAAATATCCAGAAGTGGAATTGCTGGGTCATAAGGAGATAGGTCTATTTTGAATTTTTTAAGGAACCGCCATTCTGTTTTCTACAATGGCTGCACCAGTTTGCAATCACACCAACAATGCACGAAGTTTACCTTTTCTCCACATTCTCGCCAACACTTATTGTTTGAAAAAATATGGAACACTTCACAAATTTGCGTGTCGTCCTTGTGCAGGGGCCGTGCTAATCTTCTCTGTATTCCGATTTTAGTATATGCGCTGCCGAAGTGAGCACAAAGATAGGTATTATTGTTCCAGTTTACAGAACAATAATTGTTAAGTCTAAGAGAGATTAAATAATCTGCTTAAGATCCCAAGACTACTAAAGGGTGGGTTTTGGCTTCAAAACCAGGATTTGTTTTTTACTCCAAAGCTTATGCCCTTATGATTTTGTTATGATTTCTGAACCTGGTGTTTACAAATGTATTTTTAGGAATAGATGAGTTTTCTATGACAATTTTAAACATTTAATATTATTGATGTTAATCTTTAAAAAATTCATTTAAGCAAATGTTGGGTATTCTGGACGACACTTCTAGCTGATTTCAAGCCCTGCATTTGTGTTTACAATGACAATGGAGCCAAGTAGAACAATTTTAATTGTCCCAGCTCACTGACAAAAGAACATCAGTAGCCTTCACTTGTAAATGGTGTGCCCATGCAAAGTAATGAGCAGCAAATGACCTCAAGACGAATGGAGTGTCCACTATGGTTTGAATGGAGAGAAGAGGTAGAAAAGTTCTTATTAAGTGGGGCATGATAGTTAAAAAAACAAACAAATACATAAACCCATATCAGTCAGCTCCATATTCCCATTACTAATAGCTATTTAGTTTCATGAAAAAATGTCATCTGCCATATTAACTTAATGCTGTTAATTTCAACATTGCTGATGCATGGCATTGCTTGCAAATGTATTTGTGTTTTCTAGTTACTCAAAAATTACAAGCCTCTAAAGAGTTTATACTTAGTTTTTTGGTATACTTATTTGAGTTACATGAGGACAAAAATAATGTAAGTCAACTCTAGGAGTCCAGAGGAATTTTTGGTCATGAATGGGGGTCTGCAAATTACTTAAGATTAAGCCAGGGTTCTGAGTTATAGTCAATAGAAGTACTCTCTGGTTAATATAAGCAGAAATGGAGGTTCTTGGATGGGTATTGGGTGGCCGAAGAACAGAAGGGAAGGGTAGAGAACCAGACTCAGGAAGTGGTCAAGAGCCAGGGCTGTCCCCAGAGCTGTCTGGGGTAGAAGAAGCTCTGACTCTCCCAGCACTGGATTCACCCCTTGGTCCCAGACACCGTCATTCCAGGACTTTCGCTGCTACCACCATCAAGCCTTCAAATCACTCTCTCAGGAGTGAAGACTGTGAGCAGGAACATCCAGTTGGCTGAGCTTCTATTGTTTGCCTACCTCCTGGCTTCCAGGGAGGAACCATGTGTCTTCTTTTGGCTTCTGTAGACCCAGCTGATGGAGAATTTCCCTCAAATAGGAAGGACCTCTAGATGCTGGGGAGCCAATATTCACTATACACACTCTTCTATAAAATAGAGGGATTTTAGCATTGAATAAAACAACCTCATGAGCATCAACCATAAAATCCTGTTGACGTGTTTATAGTTATTGATGAGCAGCATTTAACGAGTCCCACTGTGATCAAGATCAGAGATAAAGGCCCAGCTTCCAGCACTGGTATTTTTGTTTTATGGTCCTTGCTACAGTGGGCAGATCAGGAGGGAACCACACAAGGTAATTTAATAGAGAAACTGTATCTACCTTGAAAAAAAAATTTTTTTTTCATTTAAACCAGTTTCTCTGGTGTTTATTAAAAGCTAATAAAAAGCCACTGGCTCAGTTTTTGGAGTTGAAATTCAGAAAACATAGTTTTTATCACAGCATTTTTATGTTCTCATCCTCCTGAGCTAATCACATAACTGGTTTTGCTCCGAGCATGGATGGGAAGTGTTTGTCCAGGTCTCTGTGGCGCTTGCTAAAAATACTTCCTTGCAGTGCTTCACATGTGTCTTCAATTAACTGTGAAGAAAACCTGCTGCACGAGGAAAAATTGTTTATTCTGTGTTTCATATATGAAACCATTACCCTTTCTTATTTTGGTAGTAAGTCTTCCATTTCAAAGGTGTTCTACTTTGGGAACTGCACAGGAAGTTCTTGATTGTCCATTGCTTTCTATGCAAAGATTTCTGCACCCCGAAATAGGGTTTTTTTTCTTCCTCCTTCTCTGGTTACATGAAGGAGTTGGGGAAAAAAACCTGATTTGGCTACTACATGATCTGTTCACCTCCCTCAATCCCTACCTCTCTGACCTCATCCCCTACCCCACTCCAGCCACAGTGGCTTCCTGGTACTTTCTCATTCACCCTGCCCTATTGTTCTCCAGGAAACCTGATACACTGTATACTTAATTGTTATTTGTCTATGTATCTTCTCCTACTAGAATACAATCTTCATGAGGCAGAGACTATGTCTTCTTCCCTGCTGATCATACTTGCCCAGCACATAGTAGATACTCAATAAATTATGTGTTGAATGAGTGAATGCATGTAATAGTAACAGTTATCATTTCATAAATAATGAAATTACAAACATTATCTCTAATAAAGGAGTGAAGTTATGCTGATGAAGTTAATATTTTGAGGATCAAGGTCAATGAGGGGCTCACACCACTATATTAGGAGGTATTAAGTTCAGAAGCCACTGGGTAAAGAGGTAATGCAACATTTAAATCTTCAGTCTTGATCACTCCTCCGTAGTCCTGGCTCATACACCCAACTACCTTTTCAACATTTCCTTTTGGTTGTCTCAGAGGCAGCTCATACTATGTATGTCCAAAATGGAACTCTTGATTACCCCTCCCTCCAGTATAAATCTGTTTCTCCCCCAACTTTCCATTTCAGTTAATCACAACTTTCTGCCTTTGCTCAGGCCAAAAGCCAAGGAATCATCTTAGGTATCTCACTTTCCTCGAATCCCTACATGTAATCCCCTAGAAAGTTTGCCAACTCCACCATGACAGAAATGGCCAGCTGACCACAAAGATCTGTATTCCCTTTCTGTAGTGTAGAACTGTTGATCAGAAGTGGCTCCCCACACAGGGACTATATTTCCTAGCTCCGCATCATTCAGGTAAAGCCGTATGACGGGTTTTCATCAATGAGATATAAATGGAAGTACCACAGTTAGACCCAAGTGCCAAAAAAGCATATATGCCTTCTCCATGCTCTCTTTTTTAACTGTTTGCTGAATGAAGAGGATCCTACAAAGGATTTTGGGGGCCCAGGAGTTGGCAGAGTCACAACATGGAAGGATCCTGGGTCCCTGAGTTACCACTTGGAGAAGAGCCACTTGCTCTTCTAGAATACCTGTTTGGACTTTATGTGAAAAACCCACCAAGTTTTTGGAGTTATCTGTCATCGTAGCTGGCATTATCTTAACTAGTGTGTCTATCGCCAAAATATATCTCAAATCTGTCTACTTGTCTTCATTAATCTTATTCTATTTTGAACCACTATCCTCTATCTCCTAGAAGATTATAAAAGTCTCCTAACTTATGTTCTTGCTTCTGTCTCCCTGCTTGCTATAGACCAAATATCTGTGTCGCCCACAAATTCATATATTGAAACATAATCCCCAATGTGATTGTATTTGCAGGTCCAGTCTTTGGGAAGTGATTAGGTCATGAGAGTGAAGCCTTCATTAATGGAATTAGTGCTCTTATAAGGGACTCCAGAGAGCTCTCTCGCCCCTTCCACCATGTGAGAATCTAAGAACCAAGAAGCCAGTCCTTACCGGACACCAAATATGCCAGGTGCCTTGATCTTGGACTTCCCAGCCTCCAGAGCCATGAGAAATAGATATTTGTTGTTTAAGCCACCCAGTCTATGCTGTTTTTGTTATAGCAGCCTGAAAGGACTGAAACACCCCCTATAGGGTGTATTCTTTACACAGCCATCAGAAGGATCTTTTAA